GAAAATGGCAAATGTCGATCCTATGATAATATCTACGACTTGTAACACATAACACCATTATCAAAATGAACTTCCTAAAATGTAACTTGTCACATCATTTTTAAGCACCAACTTTTTTTTTTTTTTGGTGTAATCTTTTTCTCTTTCCTTAACAAAAAAAAAACTTTTTTTTTTCAAAGAAATATATCAAAAAAAAAAAAAAAAAAAAAAATGACAAATAAACAACTTCCCGCAGATTGTTTAAATGATATTTTTAAATATTTGGATGTAAAAAGTTTATCCAATTGCACATTTGTTAATCGGTTCTGGTGTGAAAATTCAATTCGATTATTATGGGCAAGTATCAGGAATTTTAACACATTAATTGCTTGTCTTCCTAATAAATCGAAAGAGGTTTTATATAGAAATGAGATAATTATTTCAACACCAACTTCAAGGCACCCATTATTTAATTACGTAGAATTTGTTAGGGAATTTTCAATAAAAGAAATTTGTGAAGGAATTTCATATCTTCTCAAAAATGATCCATCACAAGTCTTTCACGATAGTAAAAATATTATATTAGCACAAGAAATATTCAAAATGTTTATGAGTCAAAATTCTTTGAAAAAATTACATTTTTATCCTAATTTAAATTATATTCCAGATATACCATTTGTAACATATCCTGGGGCAAAAGGTTGTTTGAAAAACCTTTCAGAGTTAACTTGTGGTTCAAGTATCAATCCTAAATATTATTATCAACTATCTCAATTATGTCATAAATTAGAAACATTAAATGTAACCTTTGAAGAGGTGATTTCGAATGGGTTCGACGATTTACTTTCCGTTCAACAAAATTTAAAGAATTTGCACGTAACTCACACTCCCAAATGTAAATATTTGACGGATATAGGTCCCCATTTAGATAGAATCCACCCCACTTTAACCGTATTTATTCTCTATGGGGGATTTCATCATATGACACTAGATTTCGTTAAAAGATTCTCCAATTTACAAGAGTTGGCATTATTTTTTTGTCATGCTGATTATTTTGATAATTTACAATACACTGCCTTTCCAGAGTTACGAATCTTGGAGTTTAAATATGAATGTCCAAAACATGATTATTTAGTTAAATTTCTAGAGATTAACGGGATGAATTTAACAGAAATTCGTATATGTAGGTCAAAGGATTCATTGAATAAGGCAATTGCTCAATTTTGTCCAAATTTGAACTCTTTATACACAAGATTTAGATATGGGGAAGTGGAAACTTTGAAATTAATCTTGACTAGATGTCAAAAGTTAGAAAGGTTAAAGATCTTGTGCGGTAATTACCATTTGAATGAATGTAAATTGTTAGAGGTAGTCGCAAATCATTCATCTAATACCTTTCATGAGTTAAAAGTATGTGCAGTTCATGTACAATCAGAATTATTTTCAAAAGAATTAGAATCTATCTTGATAAATCCCATACCACCAAAATTACTTTCGTTGGTCATTGTTAAAGGTATTAAAGGATTTAGCGCTTTAAAAGTTAATATGGAAGCAATCGAAACATTTATAAATTTGGGTATTATTAAAAATTTCAGAATTGCTAATTTTGGGGAATGAAATATAAATATATTCTTTTTTCATAATCTATTGTAAAGATATGATTCATTTGTACTATAATAAATTAATTTTTTTTTTTTGAATCATAAGAATAAATTTTCGGATTTTGAACCTTGAAAATTTTAATACCCTCTTCCGTATGAACTTAATATGATCGATAAAATATTTCATAAAAGTGAATTGAAGAATCAAGGTGATATTTACGCGAAATGAAAACATTTTGAAAATCACTACTAAAATACTAAAATAGATATATTACATACAAAAAAGGGAATATTTAAAAATAAATATATTGACGATAGCCAATAATAAATGAGTAGATGAATTCTGTTTCAGATATCTTTCCAAGATTTCCTTCGCGCGCGAAATAGAAAAGGTTAATTTATGAATTTAAGCGTGTACCTCTTTTTTTTTTAAAAAAAATACTTCTTAATGTTTGAAAAAATTCGTTTCTATTTATTCGTTTACTACTTATCATCCATCCATATATACTGTAGTAAATCTGATAAGAATAAAACTTTCCTAATTGCATTACAGGAACTGATTCTAAATTCGATTCGATTTTTTTTGATTAATAAGAAACTCAGACTTATATGATTTGAACTTGATGCCATTTAATGAAAATAACTCTTTCCATTCCGCTAAATATCTATCTATTATCTAAAGTTTTTTTTTATATGTTGTCTCGTGAATTCTTCTCACATTCACATAAATTTTCACCTTATCGGCAGAGTGAAGGACGTGAAATTTATTAAATGATTTGTAACATATGTATACGCGTCCAAGAAGATTGACCACGCGTTGACGTGGTTATAGGTACCAGATAATTGATGAAAGATTTCTCCCACAACGACAAAGGTCTTAAATATATCACAAAGAAGTAAAAGTAAAATAGTGATATATAAATATTAAAAAAATTTGTAGGTTTACTCATCATGTTTAAAGATGATTGTTCCAACTATATTAATTTAATTTATAAGGAAAAAAAAAGTTGTTTTGATGAAAAGCAAAATGAATCATCTTATCAAATTAAACTTTACCGTCTGCTAATTTGCCTTGGCATATACATCGGCAAAAGTAATTTGCTGTTACATGTCGGTTGCTCAAACGGTGATACCAAAGAATAAAATATTTTTAAAATGATCTAGTTTCGAATGAAGGATAATACAAAATCATCCATTTTGATCAAATTTGTTACATTGTCTAGAGCTGGTGTTTGAACTGGTGGAATAAGAGGCTGGTGGTATTTTTTTATCGTATGGGGAACGGGGGTAGTTGTTTCAATATCCATTTGTTCTGGAGTATTTTGTTGTAGTTGTTGCTGTTCTGTGCTGTCATTATCAGTGTCTAATTTTTCTCTTTTCGCTGGTGTGGGGATATTGTTGTAAATAATTTTTCATTAATAAAAAAAAAATACTTTTGATCAGATTAAGATTGTTAATAATTAAACGATTAAATTTTTTTTACTTAACTGACCCGTCCCTCTTTTTTATATGTTCTGTAATTTATTTTTTTACATAAATCGACTTTTAATTTATGTTCTTTATTTCATTTATATTTTTTCTCGTCTTTCAAGAAATCAAATTTGAATAATTGAAGTTAACGTTTCAACAAATTTATTATGTATATAAACAAGTTTTCTCATTTTACAAACAAAAAAACATTAAAATTTTTTCATTTATATTATAAATGTTTGTAAATAAAGTTTAACTATTATTTAAATAGCTACCTTTTTACAGACTTCCTTTTCATCTTTTAATTACATAATTTCAACGAATTAATACAATATCTTTTTATTTTCATATATTTTTCGCTTGAATTATTAACATGGTAATTAATATGGAGATGATTCTAATAAATGATCGAATCAAAGTCCGGTTTATTCCCATATCTCTCTTATTCCATTCCATCATTTTACAACAGAACAGGCATTTGTTCCGGCGCAGTAGGAATAACTAATAGAAGGAAAGCAGACATTTCCTGACAATCGTTTCCTCAACTGGGGAGTTTTGGTTTAGCAAATTCTCACCTGCAATAAAATATTTTCACACGTTATTTACACAATAAACTTAAAATGAGGTGTCGTGTGATAAAAAAAAAAAAAAGTGCGTCTGACTCATCTATTTACAATTACCAACCTGAGTTTAATCCTTTTTCTGATTCTTAACTAAACAAGTTAATTGTTTACAAATTTAGCAAGAATCGTATTGTGAAACATTTCAATCTAAAAAATAACAATTCAATTTTAACTGTAAATGGAAGGGAAAAGAAAAAAAAAACTCACGAATGCTCAAAATAAAAGTCTTTATGGTTTTTTAACCAGAAAAGAAACAAAATCTGCTCGTGTAACGTTCCATTTAGGGAACACACACACACGTAAACATTACCTTGAAAAATAATCGTGTTTTCGATTATTAAAATTCAAAAAAAAAACCTTATCAAAAGTCAAGTTTATCATATGGCTGATAAACAACCATAAAAAGGCGAAAAAAAAATACAATAAAAAAGGATTTTCATATTGTGTTGCGGGAGATGCTTAATTTGAACTTTCGGAAAAATTTTAAAAAAAAATATTCGTGAAAAACCGGATTTTCCCATTCGGAAATTTACGGGTCAACGTACCATTCCTTGATTGTGACAATACATTAAGCTACAATCAGAATGTGGTGTAATTGATTACTAGAATAAAAAGAAATTTAATATAACATTCAACAAGTGCAAGTGTAAGATCCATTTTTATAGCGTATAATCTATTTTAATTATTGAAAAACTCAAGAAACTTGTAAATGATATCGGTGAAATTATTCGCCTAAAACCTATATGATGAAAGTGGTTTGATTTGTTCGGATATTTTTTTGCGAGACATCGTATTGAAATATCAATGCCGGATCGTATGTAAGTACGTAAATAAACATGCCATGCAAATTAATTCGATTTGGTTTCAACTAATAAAATATTTAAATAGCTTTTACGTAAAATTAATTAACTCTTTCATTAGTCCAACTTATGAAAGAATATATATATATAACTTCCGTTTCATAAATAATATTTTTTTTTTCAGAGATCAAGGAAGATGTTCCAACGTCAACGCGTTCAAATAAAAATGATCTTTTTCTCGATTATAAAAGAGTCAATCCTTCGTCAAATTTCATAGAATTTTTTTTTTGAATTTTTCGATCTTGTCAATGTCAATCAAATAAATAAACATTAATCCTTGTCACCATTGCACTACCTACCAAAAAAAAAAAAATTCACTAACCTTAAATAGCCTTAATAGAAGATAAAGACACAAACATGAATGCATTCCTTAAATAGAACGATTGGTAGAATTGATAACGCAAAATCATTTTTTTTTTTAAAAAAAAAAAGATATCGCTCACATCTTTTTTATTAGATATAACAAGATGTTTCATCAACTTCCTAATGATTGCTTAAAAGAAATTTTTGAGTTTTTGGTGAAAGATAAGGCGACCTTATGTTCATGCTTACTAGTTAACCGTCTTTGGTGTTTGGCGGTTGTTCCATTTTTATGGACAAGTATTCATAATTTTAGAACTTTCTTCACTTGTCTACCTCAAGAATCAAAAGAAATTTTATACGAGAATCAAATTATCGTTTCACCTCCAACTCAAAGATGTTTAATCTTTAATTACGTTCAATACATCAAAACATTCTCAAACGCCGAGATTTGTAAAGGCATAGCATTCCTTCTGAATAATAATTCTAACAATTCGCAAGACAATGACATCTGTAAAAATATCATAGCGGCACAAGAAATTTTTAAGATGCTTGTGAAACAAATATCTCTGAAAAGATTATTCTATTACACTTACACTTCCAACTTTTTATATATACCATTTGTCAACTATCCTGGGGCGATCGATTGCTTTAAAAATCTTTCGGAATTGAATTGTGGTTCCGAAATTAATTCCGAACTTCTTTATCGATTATCTCAAATCTGTCAAAACTTACGAACGTTAAACGTAACCTTTGATGAATTCATCTCAACCGGATTGGTGGATTTAATCTCGGTTCAACAAAGATTAAATTGTTTACAAATCTTTCAAACTTACAAGTGTGAGAGTTTTACGAGCATCATCCCATCATTCAAAAGTTTATCACAATCTTTAACTAAATTTGAGTTATATGGTGGAAATCATCATAATCCCCCTTTATCCTTCATAACGCAATTTACAAATTTACGAGAATTAAATTTATTATTCAATCACAGCGATTATTCCGTAGATTTTCGGGATGCCATCTTTCCGAACCTGCGAATTTTGATTTTTAAATATTTTAGTCCAAGATTCATGTATTTAAATGATTTTTTAAAGATCAATGGAAAGTATTTGAGAGAACTTCAAATAGGTAGATCCAATAATTTGATAAACTTGGCCATATCAAACTTTTGTTTGAATTTAAAATATTTACGTACAAACTTTCTATATAATGAGGAGAAAACGTTAAAACAAATCTTTAATAATTGTAATCAATTAACGACACTCCAAATTTCTTGTGATAATTTCTATTTAAACGAAATTGAATTGCTAGAAATTGTCGCGGAAAACTCGCCTAAAGGATTTCATGAATTAAAAGTGTGCGCATGTTTGATCGGAACAAAGTTATTTTCGAAAAGTTCACGAAGAACGATTTTTACGGAAGATTATATCCCGAAAAAAATACTTTCAATAAACCTTACGATTGAATCGAATGCGACGGATATAGATTATACTACTATTAATGAATTTAAAAAATTGGGCATAATTAAAAAATTTAAAGTGATCGAGGATAGTTATTAATATTTTTGTTTATTAGAATAGTATAACAAAAGCTTATTAATGCAATAAGAAAAATTATTTATTATCGGATCGGATAGGGCAAAATAAAATCATGTTCGTTAGAAATTTTAAAACTCTGATTTTAAAATCGAAGACGATAACTCAATTGAAAAGAATACTCGATCCGTTTTAACAATTTCATAGCCTCAAATAAAATAAAAACAATAATAATGATGATGAAAATGTCTTGACCGCTGAATATATTGAGTTACGAACGTAGTAAATCGTATGAACCGAACGTTCATATTACCTTTAATATCCAATTTGATGTTTTTGACATTTTTTCATTTAATGAACAATTTGCATCAAAAAAATTTATTTGCAGTTTCTTATAAGCTTTTCCTTTTCAAAGACTATTTAATAGTATTTGAAAGAAAATCGAATGGATGGAATGGAACGCGTGATGATCAAAGCACTGAGCATCACGTTCACGTTTCATTTCAGTGCTGAAACATGGCTGTTCGAACTTTCTCTATCGAAACCTTTTCTAGTACCGAAGATTACCTAAAGAAATATCGGATTATAGATTGAAAATGAAATAATCCATAAATATAAATTAATATAAATCGTCATTAATTACTTGAACAGGAATATATGATGTTGGATTATATATTACGTGATTTTTCACACTTTTATTTAAATGAATTTAATTCATTATTAATATTAATAAAACAGATTTATTTCAAATCATTTATAATCATGATGATTATTAAAAGGATGACGACGCGTTCATTATTAAATTACGTGCTGATTAAGTCTTTGACTTTCTTGATTTATTTAATTTATTCTATTCTTATCAAAACCGTATATTCAAACCGATTAAAATAGAAACGATCATCTTTTATAGCCTACAATATCGGTAATCGGTCATTATAATTAGTTGAGACTCAAGTTATTTAATTTATTGAAATAATCTAAAATACATAAATTGCTTTCCAAGTTACCTGTAAATTAATCCTAGTAGTATCGTTGATAAATGCTACTTCAAAATTATGAACCAAACATTTGTAATTAGAATAGAATTCCACATAAGCGGGAGATACCTCTCCCTGATCTATCCCAATTAATTTCATGTAAATCAGCTAAACTAACCCGCCGTGAAAACCGAGTTTGTTTTTTCGCTAAACAAATCTATAATTAAATTAATAAATGGTTGACGTAGTTCAAGAGTATTCACTCAGTCGACGTCCTGGAATAGTGCACGAATCTCTTTGTTGCTAGCTCGATTTACAAATTGTTCTGTGATTGACTTGCCAGATAGTCCTGCATCGTGTTGAATTCAAAAGTCCCTAATAACTGCATTACGTTCTGTTTCCCAATAACGTATCTTCTCATTCAAAAGGAATCATGTTTAACTTTACGGATGCGCAAATCAATGCTTTGTTCATCTTTAAAGCCAAGCGTCTTAGCATTCGTTAAAGATCGTAACCATTTTATTGTTATCCATTTCACGTACTATTCATGTATATACACCAGTTCCAAAAACGCCTTGTAAATTATATTATTATGAAATTTTTAATTCGAGATTGTTATCAATGAAATTCGAATATTTTTGCTCTTTGTTACTTTTATCTTATCTAGTTTAAATCATCTTTCTGGAGGTGGTGGCATCTTAAGTTTAACTCATAGTTACGCTATATAAGGCACCTAACTTCTAGATTTCCTTCGTTTCAGATTTAAACCTTCATGAGAGCTTGTTGGAATGAAAATTAAAGTAACTTTCCTTTAAATATCCAAAAATTTCGTAAAATATTAACCCTTTATTACATTCCCAAAGAATATTCGCTTTCTCATTTTTCTTAAATTCTTTTTGTTTCAACACACCTATGCTTCAATATTACAAAATTTCTTAATTTAATATGCTGTAATGTTTTTAAAATCGCCTCCAAGTTTATAAGCTCCAAAAACAATTAATTAAAAGATACCTCAATAAAGTAATTTTTTTATTACTAAAAACATAAATATTCTAATCCTTCTTAATCTTCAATTTAATAATACTCTATTCCTTCTTTCTCATTACATATATATAATATTTTAAACTCGTAAATTTTTAATGAATAATTTGTAATTGCCTTCAACATTTAATACCACTCCAATTCTGAACTTGGTGTTCCATAAAATTAAAAGGTGTGCCATCTATGCATGGGCGATCATAGAACAAAACATTACATACCCCTACCAAATCTGGGGTAAATATCGCACAACATTAAAAAACAAAATTTATATCACGTTCAATCGCAAGTTAAATTATTCTTTGAATAATTTTCTTCCTTCAGATGATGAATTCCTCCTACTTTATCAAGAGAATAAGTGTACAATATTTTAATTATAATTTACTGTATATCCATCCTAGTTTTTATTTTAATGATTTCGCCCGCAAGGAATTTCTAAATATCTTTATTTTCTCATTTTAGTTCTTTGAATTATTATTTTGTTTAAAAGAATCTTTTGCAAATGACGAATAAGATTAAATTAATGACCGGTATCAATCACGTAAAATTATCATTTAATAAATTTTACCGTAATATCGATAATTCTATATAATCATATCTACTTGTCTATAAAATAATTCATACTTGACCTTTGCCGTCAAAATATTTCCATTACAGAAAGAATCAGTTACTCTTTTCAAGGATTTATGCAGCATTAACCTGATTATGTAAATCCGAAAACTTGAAAGCATTCATAAAGAAAGAATTGAGAGAGTAAATTTTTAATTCACGTGGCGTTATCGAACCAATCATATAACGTGTCGATCAGTTATTACTTACGATTTAAAGCTTAACGTTAGCATATATTTTTTAAAATATAAAGGCTTTAGACTTCTTTGAAAATTAGATTCACATTAAAAGCAATTATTTACCCGAAAATGATAGTTTCAAAGGTAACTTCATTGGAGTAACCATTAACAAAAATGAATTGTTTTCGCGTTTGAATTCTAATTTATAATAATTTTCAGGACCGAATTGAATTTAATATACATGGGTATATACACGTAATGTAATTTCGCGTTTTGTTATATATTTGATCAATTTATTAAAAGTGTATTTTGAAAATTATACAAAACTGAAGAAAGCAATTAGTTTAATTAGTTTAAAGATATGGCATCCACAGAAACTATTATAGTCTTTGGTGAAGAGAAACCAGAATGTTAAACTGGGATTGTTGAGTGTTTGGATTATAACATCACGAGAAGTCCTCTCAAATGCTGGGAAAGTAAATTCCTGAATTATTTACACGAAGAAAAGCTGTTATCAAAATAAGATCACTGAACTACGGTTGATTTCGTTGAAATTTCTTAAATTTTTAATTTTTGGAGTTTAAAATATCTCTGATGATTTTTGTTGAAAATTAATTGAAGAATTTAGAGAGGGAAAAACAAAAAAAAAAACTTTATTGTATGTTAAAAATATATATTACAATCTTTTTAATAAAGACAGCCGATATCAAAATAATATTATCACTCCTTCCAGCTTAGAAATAATGTATTCTATAAAGTTCAATAATAATTATTTCCTTTTAATAAATTCGATAATTTAAGGATATTGTGGATGACAACACTTCATATCTAATCATAAATAAAAGCGACCTGATAAAAATACAAGTCTCATTCATCACTGTATCTCTAAAATCTATTCTTATAATTATGTTTGGCTTATCGTTTCTCGAGGGAAAAGGATTGATTCAATGAGTTCCAAGAGTCACTTACTTGTAAACTCTTACGCTGTAAAATTCATAAATTATTTTTTTTTTTTTTTTTTTTTTTGCGCCAAACTACAATTCTAACTAAAATAATTAGATATGATTCATTCACTTCTTAAATCGCTTTAATCACAAGCTCGACATCGTGAACACATAAGTGATCGATTAAAAGCACTAAAAAGCACTAGAAAAACTTTCTTGCTGATTAATTCTATAAATTTCTTAAATATTAACGTTATATCGTATTCAATGATATGGTATTGGCTGAGAAAAATTACATGTCGAGTTGATGTGGGTCGAGTTGATGTGATGTTGAACAATCAAGATCACTCCAAGATCTCTAATTCCCTTTCCCTTTCAGTAGTTACAGCTAATTTTTCAATTTTTTCTATTTCCTCTTTCGTACAAAGTGTTTCTACTTGTCTCGTTGCTAAAGCAGTATTATGATTAACTTTTTCCAATTCCCATAATGATTTATCAAGTTCCCTTTGTGATTTTCGTACACTTTCATTTAATTTTAATTCCGCCTCTCTCAATCTTTGTCCTTCTTCTCTAATTTGCGCCAACTTTTTTTTTTGAATTTAAATATATTGAGAAATTAATTAAAATATGTAAATGAAAACTAGTTAATTTTTTTCATTATAAAAATTTACCTTTTCTTCGAGTACTGGCGCATAAGCAGGAATATGTACAATTTTTGGAGGTTGTGAAAAAAGATCTGGAGGAGGACTATATGATGCGGCAGGAGGAAATGGAGGTCCAGAGTATGGACGTTGATGATATTGTTGATGATGCATAGAATTTCCTCTTTTATAATTATTGTTATTATTATAATTATTGTAATTATTGTGATTATTGTAATTATTATTATAATTGGGCCTATAATCTCTATTAGGTGGTCTAGGATATGGATTGTATGAGTGCCCACCACGATAAGATGGTCTTCTTTTATATGGTTGAATATGAGATGATATTGGAGGTCTTCCGTATGGTTTTTGATCTCTTGTATTTCCACCATATGGAACTTGTCCTCTAAATCCGAATTGTGATTCTTCTTCTCGTTCATCATATCTATCTAAAGGCATTTGTGGCTCTCTCATTTGATAATCATAATCTAAGTGATTATGAGGCATGTAGTGAGAACTAGAACCATAATTATCCCTTTCTGGAGGGTAAAAATTATAAGAATTAGCACGGTGAGGTATGAAATCTCTTGGTCGGTTATAGTTTGGTGGACTTCTACGTTGATCATTAGCTCTATCCATTATCTTCAAATTAAAAAAAAAAATGCAAATCCCATAAAAAGAATTTGCTAAAACCAATTCTATTTTTATAGATTTTTATAGCATTACCAAATTCTTGTCTCACCATATTTCTTTATGGGCAAATGTTTGTCCGACAAAGAAGATATGATTGGTCGAAAAATCCAAAGTAAAAAGAGATTTTGTATCCAAATCAACCATATAATTGTTCTAATATAATAATAATATTAATGAATGTACAAATCAGATCATTTTATGCTAAAATCTTTTGATATGAAATCCCTTTACTTTATTTAACAATAATATAATTTGAGGTAATAGCTACTTTGGTGATTATTACAAGGTTACACGCTACCAAAAAGAGATTAAATTATAGCAAAAATAAAATTGGTAACGCAGTAAGGTTTAGTTTCTTATTATTATTGCTTATTTTTTTTTTACTTAATTAAACTCCTATATTTATCTAATTATTTCAGTTATATTTAGACAAAATTAAATAAATAGTAAATATAAATTTGTAAAATTATATGGCTTTTTATAGTAAAAGAAAGAAATTTATATTTTTACTTTAAATGCTAAATATGATTTTTAGTAAATAAGTCATTAACTCAAAAAAAATTTTTTTTACTTTTATAAATCAATTTTTTAATTCAAAATTTTTTATTAGCAATAATTAAAGATAGATCTGCAACTACTAAGATGTAATTTTTTAGGTTATAATCTAATTTGCAATTAGTTACAGAATCTCAATAATAAAAATTATAATTTAAAGTTCACATAATCAATTATAACTTTTCAAATCAGTTGCAATATTACTTTTAATTACAATATATATGTTATATATAAAATTCCATTATATTAAGTTTATTTTATTTAATTATTTTTATTTTTTAATTTATAAAAATTTAATATTAATATTAAAAAATTTATTTAATATTTTATTTATATTAAATTTTTTATTTTATTTAATATTTTTTTTTTTATTAATTATTAAAAATATTTTAAAAAATATATTAGATATAAAATTTTATAAGTTATTTTATCAAATTTAAGTTTATATATATATTATATATTTTATTAATTTAATTTATCATTTTTATTATAATAATTTGTTTATAATATAATTTTTATATCATAAATTTTTGAAATAAGTATTTTATTTTATATATATATATATACTGTATATTTAATAATTTTTACTTTTTTTTTGTTTTTTCAATTTATTTATAATTATACTTATTAATTTTAAATATTAAAAATTATTATTAAATAATAAGAATTTTTATTTAAATTTAATTATAATCTTTAATAAATTATAATATAAAATTTTACATAATATCTTAAGATTCTTTTTTTATTATTCTTAATTATAATATTATATAGCATATACAAAATTTTTCAATTTCAATTTTATGAATTTTTCATATTTAAGTATTAAATATTATTAATATATTAATATATATTTTTTATAAAGTTTTTTTTAATAATATTAAAATAAATAATTTTAGTTTTTATAAAAAAATTATTTTACTAAAAATTTTGATTTAAGAATTATTAATTAATATAAATTTAAAAAAATAAGCAATTTCTACTTATAATGAGAACTTTTTATAAACTTCTTAAATTGAAACTTCTCTTATTCAAAGATATACCTATCTATCACTGCATTTCATTCATTTTTATTATATAATTTAACATATCTTTTTGATGCTTAAATCCAAATAAAAATCGCTGACTTTTACAATATTTCTAATGATAAGAGTCTGATAGGACATACTAGTAATATCAATATACTAGAACTTTAAATCTCAGAATAGTTTCTAATATAGCCAATAAAATTTTGATCATATAATGATTTCAAGCTTTTTAAAGATTGGATTTTTGAAGAAATATTTTTATTTATAATATATTAGTAAAAAAATTGTAATTTTTAATTTTTTTGTTACCTATTTTTTTGTAATTTCTCAAATTTTCCTTTAAAATTTAATTAAACAATATGAAATATAGCATATATTTGTTAATGAAAATGCAAATGAAACTGTTTTAGTTGCTTTAAAAGAACTTAATATTATTTTTTTTATTGAAAATTCAAGTTCTGAAAGTGAAAAAACATGTCAGAAGATAAAGGAAATATGTTAATTATATTTGATGATAAAAATTTTGAAAATTTAAATGAAATAAATTTAAATAACTTTGAGTTTCTGATAATTTTATTGATAATAAAATTTATAATAATTTAAAGCTAAAAGTCAAAAAGTTTTTTAAAAATGGAAAATGTTCTTGTAAATCTAAATGTTATGAAAAATTAGTTATGATCAGTTTTTTAATATAGAGTAGAATTTGGAAGTTTGAATAAGAAAATGCAGGATATTATTATTAAGGAACAACTTTTAGCTTTTCAAAAAGATAAAAATATAAGAAAAGCTATTACTGAAAATATAAATTTTTATGTTTCAATTATTATTACAATAATGATTTTGGCCTTCCTTTGTCCATATCATAGGTTATTACAATTATCTGATGAACAATTAAAAGCAGATCTAAATATTAAAAGTAAAGAAGCTTTTGTTCTTCATTCTATACAAACGGATGAATATTGGAAGTCGGAACATATGTTGGATCAGGCAGGTTTTCTTATCGACCTAATGTTGAAATACAGTCCCTGGTGAAAAGAATGGCGGTAAAATCTGCATCAATTTTTATGCTGTGGATTTACCGCTTTTTGGAATTAAGCATTGATTATATGTCCAAATCGGACATTAGAATCAGAATTTAAAAGGTATATTAAAAAAATAAGGTTTGTTATTTGTTTTTATTTTGATTTTATCTCCGAAA